ACACTCATCTATGCAAAATTTCTTTATTCATTGTAAAACCAGTCACTTGCAAAGTATTTTTCATTACTCTTACCAAGGGGAGTGCCTTAAATATGTAATGATAACCCTATGGCATTGAAAAGGCACTAAAAATCTAACTCACATACTAAAAATTGTAAACCTTGCTATTAACATGTTAAAAAAATCTAACTATGGGGATATAGTGCAAAAAATCATACACATGGCACTAATTTGGAATTTACCATACATATGTGGTAAGCACCAATACATGCCATGCATAAAAAAAGAAATGCTCAAAATATTATTTTGTAAGTCACACATGTATGTTATACACATATGCTTTTTTAATATATGTTTTGAAAGCGTGCTAAATTTTTGTCTAGGCCACAGTATGCCTAGGCATACCTCCCAAATGGCAAATGGCAAGCAGTTTATGATTGCAATGGGAGGGAAAAATAATAGTGTGAGCATGTTTTAGGGTATTATTAAACTACTTAGTTTGATTTATACTTGGCAGTCATAAGTCATCTATTATTTTATTCTTTACATTAAAAATATATTAAATACTTAGTAATAGTAGGTTGCTGTTGCTAAGAAATAAAAAAACAGTATTTATATAAATTATTATATATTTTATTTTATATAAATATATATAGAACAGAGATAGGAAGTTACCAAGCACAAATATAATATAGTATTGTTTATATATTATATTTTGTACAAGGTGGTGTTGGAACTTCCTATGGTACTTTGAAATAAGCTCAATTCACATATAAATTTTGATTATATAGATTTTCTAAAAATCTATGGCTTTGGTTGTGCAAATCAATTTTACAGTGCAACTGATCCTCTTGCTAATCACATGTACTTATACATATGGGTTGGAAAATGCAAAATCTAATAATAACACCCTTAATAATGCTATAAATCCTTTTGTGAGCACGAATAAGACCATATTATGGATGAATGTAAGTGACATTTCTAAAAGCATAGATGAAATACCAGATGTAAGTCATGTTTTACTTCTATTACTTTCATTTATAAAACTTTTGTGACATGTTCCAGTTTATATGTGGGAGATTTCAAGCAACTTGTACTAATATCCGTTTATATATTTATAAAGCTTTAAAAATTGTGATGGTTGGAGCAAAATGTGATTCTGGGGATGGTGGATATGGGAATGTAATGGTGGATACTAATAATGGTATAAGTAACGAATTTGGAAGGCTAAATAGAGGAAGTGATTACACTGACTCTTGCGATATAGATTCTATTGAGCTACATGGTTCAATCCTTGCAGCAAGTTGTAAGAATAAAGATGGTTATTTACATACTTCTTTTCTGCAGTTAAACTACCTTTTGAGGAATGTATTTGGCTCCTTGTTCTTTTGCCCTCTACCATCTCTTAGAACTGAACTGATTTAAAAAATAATATATTAAAAAATTAAGGTAAAATTATTGTTGGTTTGCACTTTGTAATGATTCTATTATTATTAAGTTTTAATATTAATGAAGGCTGTTATAAAGAAAAAAGATTTCGGTGTTGCTGGAACAAAAAAATTAAATTTTAACTATCTTTTTCTTTTTCATTGGCAGATAAAATTGTATGGGATATACTAAGAATATGTATTGAAAAATACACGTGGCAGCGACTCTGGGAAAACCTCTTGGCTCAAATTTTTTTAGGGTTCTCTCTCCTTTTCCGGTTGTAATGCCATGACGGAGAAGAAAGGTGATGGCGATGCCACCGCCAAGAACAACAGCAGCAACAAGGTATGGAAGCGTCCAGTCAAGAGATCGTTCACAGGCGCTGCCGCCGCCAATGCCGCCGCCGCTGCGGTGCGCTCCAGATCCTCGCAGAAATCCTCCAGATCCAGCCTCACTCTCGCTCCCAAGGCCAGCAACGCGATCAATTCCCAGAATCCCACGCCAGCGTCCCTGGAGATCGTCCCCGACGAGGCGCTGGGCAATATTTTGGGGCGGATCTCCGACGGGAGAATGCTGGCCCGGTGCGCGGGCGTGTGCCGGCGGTGGCGTCGCGTCTGTCGCCAAGTCCCGGTTCTGAAGCTCGTGCTAAGGAAGATGCAAGCTTGGCAGGCGGAGGGCGTCATCTCGGCGGCGCTGCTCGAGAGGAAAGGCCTGCGGGACTTTGAAGTGAGATTTGTGTGCCCGAGAAAGTATGCCTCGGAGGGAGTCCGCGAGAGCCGCGTCTTTGGCTGCCTGTGGAGGCTCAGCTCCAGCATCGAGACGCTGGCTTTGATCTGCCCAAACACCGTCTACTTCAAGCTCTGGACTTGGCTCGCAAAGTTCCCACGCCTGCTCAGCTTGAAGATCCACTGCGGGAGGATCGAAGAGAACCCGTTGAACAACTGCCTGAATCAGCTCCGGCGCTGCGAGTTCTCCCGGACGATCATCGCGGAGCCGATGCTCGAGGACCTCGTCAAGTTCTCTCCAGTTCTCGAGGAGCTCGTGGTCGTGGGCTGCGACCCGATCGAGTCCCTGGCGCTGGAGAGCTCGAGCCTCCGGTATCTCAACTTGGTGGCCACCGAGGAGTATCCAATGAAGAGCTTGGAGCTCCTCACCCTGGGGCTCAAGGATCTCTACATTTGTCACGTCGAGGAGCTCCAAGTGAATGGCTACGAGCTCGTCCATCTCGGGATCTACTCGGCGTGCCAGCCTCGCATCTCGAGCTTGCATCATCTGCTCAGCTTGGAGATGGATGGCAAAGGCTGGGCTCTGGAATCTATAGAACACATCGTCTGTGCTGCACAAGTCGTCCGCCACCTTGTGATCAAGGCTTCCATCTCCGAGACGAGGCCTCTCCGGATCGAGCACTACTTGTCGCCGATGTTTTGCTTGCAAGCCGTGATCCTCGAGTCCAATCTTCTCGAGGTATGTGTTTTCTTAGCTTTCTTCTCTTCTTTCAGGGGACTGATTCGAGGTTTTCTAGCTTCTGTCCGCCAGTGCTTTTGCCGTGGCTTTGCGGAGATACCATTCGATGGAGACGAGCCAGTGTTTGCTCTCAAGAAGGTTGCAGTGAAGCTCTCGGAGGAGACACGGGACTGCACGGGGCTGCTCAAGGCTCTGGTGAGCTACTGCCCGGATTTACAGATCTTGGTGGTGGATACGACGGAGCTCGAGCTTGGAAATCTCAGCGAGCTCCAGCAGCTCAAAGATCAGGAGCAGTCTCCCCAGCGGCGAGTTCTACTCTATAGTGATCCCAAAGACCAGCGCTTAGTGAAAGAAATCGCCGAGATCCTTGCAGCGGACTCCAAAAAGGTAGAATTTTTTTTTTTTTTTCTTCTCTTGGTTAGAAACTAAACTTCTCTTTGTTTTCTCAGGTTTGAATTTAGAAGCCGCAAATATACACCAAAGATACGGTGAATTTAGAGTATGATCTATAATGGTCGTTCCTTTTTCCATGCTTTCTTGATCAAATTTTGCGATGGTTCTAGCTAGTACACTGGAACCTTGTCATCTACTCTGGTGGAATACGCATGAATCCCTCCAGACACATTGTGGAGGCGAGAGAATCCCTGTTCCACGTTTGTAAGGATCATGTCAGCAATAAAAAGAAAACCAGTGAAATGTTAGACCTGGGATTTCAACCATTGAGCTGCTTGTAGCGATCTTACTCCATGGTGGCACTGCTCCAAAACGGTCAAGCGAAGAACTTAAAAGCCAAAAACAAAGACTATACCACGACGAACGTGTCTTTGTCCGGATCAAGCGTGTCGCCGATTGTTGGTCCCCATTCTCCAAATTGGCTCAAAGGAAATGGCTTGAATCCATCCAGGCTAGCTATTTTTCTGCGAGAAAAATGAGTTTATAGAGCTTTACACAGAAGGATTGGGAGTAGAAATCCAAGCACTTACATCTCTTTGAGCTCTCTCACGTCAAGAAGTTGTGCGTTCTCCCTGAATTCGGGGTCTTTCATTCGCTTGGCGAGCTCTTCCGGTTGGATTTCCACCAAAAAGCCAGCTTGCCTGTGCACACAAGAGACTGTAAGTTATAACAGTGTGATACGATTGACAAAACCTTTCTGATAAAACTTGAAGTAGATGCCAGCCAAACTTCGTCTTTGCACGCACGATTTTGTTCAGCGGTGCGCTAAATGCTGCTTCTTCAAACTCGGGCACCTGATAGCAAGAACAAAAGGAAAACAAATGAGAAAACTCGCCAGGCCAATGTTTGTTTACCATGCGTCCTTTGCTGACCCATCCCAGCATCCCACCATTTTTCTTCGAGGGGCAAATCGAGTGCTCCGTGGCTAAGTCGCTCAAATCGATATCCTCTATAGAGAGAAGGAAAAAAATCACAGAGTCGAGAGAAAAGAAACGATTTGGAGACAATGGAAAGGTGGCTCATACCTTGAACGAGTCGTTTCTGGAGCTCAGTGAGCAATTGAAGCTGGTCCTCCTTGACGAGCAAGTGCTGGACTAAAATCTCCCGATCTTGATTCCCCGAAGTGCCTGGAGAAGGAAACAAGCTTGAATCCCGTGGAATGAAGATGAAGGTCGCGGAATTTTCACGAAATCTTACCTGCGCTGCAATACATTCTATGCGCCGCTGCCGTGGCCACATCCTTCCAGCTCCTGGATTCGAGAAACCTGAATGCCGGATGGATTTTCTTCGCGGCCAGCCTCAGCGCAGGCACCAAAGGCAGCGGCAATGCAGGGGCGGCGAGCGGCGCCATCGCTGCGCGGCGACGCCATTGGCAATGGAGCAACGCAATGGAGCCCTCGTAGCGAAGCATATTCTCCACACAAGAAAGAAAAATGGACACAGTAACAAGATTCCAGAATAATTGATTGACTGTTTGACCCACTTGACCGTTGTTAGGTCTTTGACCAGATGCCACGTGTATTTTGCCACAACATTTTACTGAGACAAACAAAATATTTAATCGAATATGCCTTGGCGCCATAGATTTGAAAGCCCCGCCCATACTCTCTATTCTCTCTTTACTTTCTTTCTTTTTCTATTAGGGTTCTAGGCCGGGGCGATGGTGGGCTTCCTCGCTTCCTCCTCTCCCATCGTTGACGATGGCTCCAGAATCAAGGCGCCCAAAGAGGAACCCATTCTCGCCGACAATCCACAGCGCTTCTGTATGTTCCCGATTCGCTACCCCAGGGTGTGGGAGATGTACAAAAAGGCCGAGGCGAGCTTCTGGACTGGTGAGATCCGGTTTCTAGCTAGAAATCCCCTTCGTTTCATTTGCCAGCGCCGCTAAGAGTTGGGGCATTTCAGCTGAGGAGGTCGATCTCTCCCAGGATGCCAAGCACTGGGAGTCTCTCACCGACAACGAGAAGCATTTCGTGAGCCATGTCTTAGCCTTTTTTGCCGCCTCGGATGGCATTGTCTTGGAGAATCTGGCTGTGCGTTTCATGAAAGAAATCCAGATCCCGGAGGTAAGGCATTTTTTCCTCTTGGGTTCTTTGTCTTACAGCATTTGCCAGGCTCGGGCATTCTATGGCTTCCAAATTGCCATAGAGAACATCCACTCGGGTATGAATCCCTTGCTTTTTCTACTGTTCTTCCTTCTCTTGCAAATCTTGTGCGTGATTTTGAAGCTTACAGCTACTTCGCTTTTTTTTCACAGAGATGTATAGTCTTCTTTTGGAAACTTACATCAAAGACAACGAAGTGAAAGCGAAACTTTTCAATGCAATCGAGACCATCCCTTGTGTCGCTAAGAAAGCAGACTGGGCCCTTCGCTGGATCGACAGGTACAAGTCCGAAACTTGATTGCTTAATTCCCGAATGAAAAGACATGATGCTTGACTCTCCAGCTCACAGTCGTTCGCGGAGAGAATTGTGGCGTTTGCTTGTGTGGAGGGCATTTTTTTCTCTGGAAGGTAAGAGATCGAGAATTTCTTTTGTAATTTTGATCTTTTACATTGACGTTTGCTGTGGCAGCTTTTGTGCGATTTTCTGGCTGAAAAAAAGAGGCCTCATGCCAGGACTCACTTTTTCCAATGAACTTATCTCTAGGGACGAGGGGCTCCACTGTGATTTTGCCTGCCTCTTGTACAGGTAAGCCATAAGATCTCCAGTCGAAGGATCTGGCCTCTAATCGGGTGATTTGCAGCTTGCTAAATGTGAAGCTGGACGAAAAGAGAGTCAAGGAAATCGTCTCGGATGCTGTGGAGATTGAAAGGCAGTTTGTTTGTGAGGCGCTGTCGTGTGACTTGGTCGGCATGAACGCAAGGCTCATGAGCCAGTACATCGATTTCGTAGCTGACCGCTTAATGGTAAGCAAATCTTCTTGCTAAACATCTCTTGTTTCAACCTCTTTTTCTCGTCTCTCCAGGTCGTCTTGGGTTACAATAAGCTGTTTAACGCGATCAATCCATTCGACTGGATGGATCTGATCTCTCTTCAGTAAGTTAACGTTCGAAGTTTCCCGTTCTTCTTTTCTTTCTTTTCAAAGCTTTCTTTTGTGTAATCTTCCAGAGGGAAAACCAACTTCTTTGAGAAGCGTGTCGGCGAGTACCAAAAAGCGTCAGTCATGGCAAAGGTTTCGAATCCGGAGGCCGATCACCATGTGTTTAAGCTGGATGATGATTTCTAAACACAATTCATGTAAGTATATTCACTCTGCCGCTTTCTACACGGCATTCCAGGACTAACATTTTCTTTTCTTCTTCCCAGCAGGCTGACAAAGACCGCAAAACGAATAGAGCACTGTTCTCGGTGTGTATCTACGTAACTACAGCTCCTAAAGTAATTTCGCTACGTAAGTGTGGAAAACAAGTTTATAAACGAAATCAAACTAGTGGGATTCGAGGCAATTCTGACTGAAGAGAAAAATCAACTGAAATGGAAGCAAGGTGGAAGCTTTGGTAAAGAGAAAAAAAAATCAACCTTTGAAAACGTCTTTCGTTAGTCTTATTTACACGCAAAAGAGATTTTTAGTAAACAAAACAAGTCTCGGGTAGAATGGAGTTCAAGAAAGAAAAATGAGAGAAGCTCTTCATCCATAAATTGTGGAACTCAAGAATCTCCACTGCCGTGGCTTCGCAAACTTCATATGGCTGGGGGACTTACAGTTAGAAAAAATTTCTTATTCATTATGTTCTTTGAGATTCGTATTTTTTCGATCCAGGGATTCCTCCTCACGAAATGGCGCTCCTGGATCTTGCTCAACGATTCCTGGTCGAGCAAATGGTGGTACTCGACCGTGCACATTGTCACCGTGACGGTGGGAGCCGGGGTCTTGAGCTTGCCGACGGTCATGGCCTACTTTGGATGGTAAGATCTCTGATCGCTCACAAGAAGTTCCATCGATCACGATGAAACCAATCTTACTCCAGGGCGCTCGGAACTATGCTGCTGGTTGGATTCCTGATCCTGAGCCTGATGTGCTACTGGCAGCTGATTGAAATGCACGAGACTGAACATGGCCGCCGGTTCGATCGATACCACGAGCTGGGACAGCACATCCTGGGACGCCATCTCGGATTCTGGCTCATTGCTCCGCTCCAGGCCATCGCCCAAGTGGGAATTGACACGGTTTACATCATCGCCGGGGCGAATTCCCTCGAGCACGTCTACTCACTCTTTGACAAATGCAAAGAGCTGGACGTCCATAAATGCAAGGGCATCAACCTGACTTACTGGATGATATTGTTCATGGGGGTGCAGCTCTTGCTCTCGCAGCTCCCGCACTTTCAGTCCATCACCTGGGTGTCATTCATCGCTGCTGTTACAGCCATTGGGTAAAAAGCTGCTCTTTTTTCGCTTCGGTAAAATTGTTTACAGCTGTTTTACTACTTTGACAGGTATTGCACACTTGCCTGGGTTGGAATTCTGATTAAGCAACCTGCTTTAAGTTCAGGTTCAGCTGCATCTGCACCTACACAATGTTTTCAGAATGTTGGGCATGGCTATCCACATGGTTCCAAAGCTCACTTAGCTTTCGGGATCTTCACCTCTCTCGGGAAGCTGGCATTTGCAGTAGCAGCCGGGCACAACATTGCTCTCGAGATCCAGGCCACGATCCCGAGCACTAGTCGCCACCCTTCGAAAAGAGCGATGTGGAGAGGGATTCTGGTGGCCTATCTGGTGGTTGCGTTTTGCTACTTGCCTGTGGCGCTTGTGGGATACAAGGTTTACGGGGATGAAACACGCGACTTGTGCTCCGGCTTGGACAATGTCCTGCTCAGGCTCAGGAATCCCAAACCGATGATTGTTCTCGCGGATTTGATGGTTTTCATACATCTGTGTGGCAGCTACCAAGTACGTCGCTTGTTTTTTCCTCTGTTCTTGACAAGTGCAATTGTGCAGGTGCTTGCAATGCCACTTTTTAGCAATTTTGAGACGCTCGTGGAGAGGATGTTCAAATTTGAGGCGAACCTCAAACATAGAATGATCATGAGATCGTGTTATGTTGGTAATTCTAAAACTTTTTCATGTGCAGGTCTTTTGTTTATGTTTTTCTTTTCTTCTTCTTTCAGCCTTCACGTTTTTGCTGGCCGCATCACTTCCATTTTTTAGTGACCTTCAGGCCTTTATTGGAGGTTTTGCATTAGTTCCTACAACTTACGTGGTAATCATCTCATCATCTCATCATGATATTGCTAGATTTATTTCTTCTTTTCCAGATACCTTCCGTTCTTTGGCATTTTGAAAGAAAACCAGAAAGATATAGTCCCCAATGGATAGCAAACTTGGTAAGTGGAAATTCTCTGAAGTCCTTACTGCTCATACATTGATTTTTAGATCTGCATATCCTTTGGAACCGTGGTGATGTTTACATCGACCACAGGTGGGCTTCGGAGTTTGATATTGAAAAGAGAAAAATCAAAGCCTTTTTCTTGAGCAATATATCGGTACAATTTGTTTTTCTTTTTTTCTTTCTCTCGAAGTCAGCTGTGTTTATAATGAAAAACTCAATTTACACCTGCAGCATGATTTGAAACTTTCATAGCTCACCAGAGTGGACACGCTGGTAAAAAGAGTGAGCTATGAGTGAGAATGCTTAAGAATGAATTAGTGAGGTGGGCTTCGGAGTTTGATATTGAAAAGAGAAAAATCAAAGCCTTTTTCTTGAGCAATTATCGGTACCTTCCAGAGGAAACGAAGGGAAGATCACCCAAAAGTCAGTTGTTGGCACGTTCAAGGATGGCAACTGTCATTTCTTTGCAAGTTTTCTTTTATTTGGGTGTAGCGATCTGATTCTCGTTGCTCTTAGTTGTAATGAAAGATCCCTTCTTCAGCGTTAATGAAAGTTTTACTTATTTAGTCTTTATAAAAGTGGTAAAAATTTGCAAAAAAAAGTATTAAAGTCAGTTGTTGGCATGTTCAAGTGTTTCTTTACCAGTTTCGAGCATGTCAAAACTGAATTCTATAGTTTTATAGAGATTAAATAAGTAAAACTTTCATAGCTCATAGTCAACATTAACACTGAAGAAGGGATCTTTCATTACAAATAAGAGCAACGAGAATCAGATCGCTACACCCAAAAAAAAGAAAACTTGCAAAGAAATGACAGTTGCCATCCTTGAACGTGCCAACACCGACAGCGACACATGAACGAGGACTGGAACTCTCACTGCTCACACGACTCATGAACTAGTTCCATGAGATCCATGTCTCAGGATTCTCCATCCCTTTATGTAGCTAGCTAGCTCTTGACAATGGCTGGAATAAAGGTAGGTTCTAGAGATTCATCTCCTTCTTTCTAAATCCTCGCAAAAATCTCCCAGAAATCCCTCCTCAAGAGATGGCGCTCGTGGATCTTGCTCAACAATTCCTGGACAAGCCGGTGGTGGTATTCCGCGGTTCACATCACCACAGTGACGGTGGGAACCGGAGTTTTGGGCTTGCCGACAGTCATGGCCTTCTTCGGATGGTAATTGTGATGCTCCACTCTCTCCAGAACCGCGTGATCGACTCACAGGATCCAGGGAACTCGGCACCATCCTGATTGTGGGCTTCATGATCCTGAGCCAGATGTGCTACTGGCAGCTGATTGGATTGCACGAGACCCAAGAGGGCCGCCGCTTCGATCGATACCCTGAGCTGGGACAGCACCTCCTGGGCGACTCTCTGGGATTCTGGCTCATCGCTCCACTCCAGGCCATCGCCCAAGTGGGAATCGACACAGTCTACGTCGTCGCGGGAGCGAATTCCCTCCAGCACATCTACTCGCTCTTCCACGAATGCAATGCTTTGGATTGCGGTGCCATGAAGTTGACCTACTGGATGCTCGTCTTCATGGCCGTCCAGCTCTTGCTCTCGCAGCTCCCACACTTACAATCAATCACTTGGGTGTCATTCATAGCAGCAGTCACAGCCATTGGGTAAGAAACGAAGAAAAAAAGTTACTCTCTTTCACCTTCATCCTCTTCCAGGTACTGTACACTAACTTGGGTTTCCATTCTAATTAACCATCCACCTTCACCTTCACCGTCACCACCTTCACCTTCATCGTCTTCCGCGTGTTTCGCGAATGTCGAGCATGGCTACCCGCAAGGATCCAAAGCTCACATAACTTTCGGGATCTTCACCTCTCTCGGTAAGCTGGCATTTGCGATGGCGGCCGCGCACAATGTGGCTCTCGAGCTCCAGGCGACGATTCCAAGCACTCGCAATCGCCCCTCGAAACGAGCAATGTGGAGAGGGATGCTGATCGCGTATATCGTGGTCGCGTTTTGCTACTTGCCGGTGGCGCTGGTGGGATACCGGTTCTACGGCAACGAGACTCGCGATACTTGCCCGGGGATCGACAATGTCCTGCTCAGGCTCAAGAGTCCCAAACCGATGATTGTTCTCACGAATTTGATGCTTTTCATTCACTTGTGCGGTAGCTACCAGGTAAGCTTTCCATTTTCTCCAGAGGTTTTCTTCGTTCGAGCTCTTGGATGTGCCACAGGTGCTAGCGATGCCGATTTTCAGCAACTTTGAAACATTTTTGGAGAGGAAGTACGAGCTTGAGCTGAGCTTCATGCTGCGAACGATCGGCAGATATAGTTATGTTGGTAAGACTTTGATGATGATGAATCTCTTCGATGAATTTTTTTTACCTTTGAGCGCAGTTCTGACGTTGATGCTGGCCGCAGCGTTTCCTTTCTTTGGTGATCTTGAAGCCTTCTTTGGAGGTTTTGCTTTAATTCCAACGACTTACGTGGTAAGTTCCTGCTTGATACATCCAGAACTTAAGACTTTGTTTGTTTTTAGATACCTTCTGTTCTCTGGCATTTGAGTAGGAAGCCCGAGCCATTTAGTCCGCCATGGATAGCAAACCTGGTAAATGAAATTAAAGACCAAAGAAAAAACTGTTTTAAAACTCTCTAGCTACTGACTCACATTGCATTTGTTTTTAGTTGTGTATTTCCTTTGGAATAGCGGTGATGGCTACTTCGACGATAGGTGGCCTTCGTAACTTGATAATGAAACGGCGGGAACTGGAATTCTTTCAATAAGTTGGGAGTCATTTACTCTCCATCCCTGTTAAACACAGCATCAGAGTGGAAACAGAAAAGAAAAATTCAAATGTTACTGCTAGACTACGTTCCAAGAAAAAGTACGTTGAGACAAAGTCGAGATCGATTCCATCGCCACCGGCCCCCAGATGAAGCCTCTGCTCGTGAATAAAAAAACATTTTCCCAGTGAGGCTCATCTCTGTGGGACAGATGGAAGAAACCGTACCTTAGAAAGCGTTTTCTTCCTACGGTAGACGAGTCTTTGATGGAGAATCTTATTGTGGAGAGTAAAAAAAGAGGAGTAATCGCCGCTCCCAGGGCAGCCCCGAGTTGTGGCCTGCATATATAAGCGAGAAGCCTCGACGAGGAAGTGAACGAGTACCTTCCCATTCTTGAGTAGTTCTTTTTTTTTTTTTTTTTTTGTCCAGGCAAGATGGTAGTCCTGGCGCAAGCCGACGAGAAGCGCCATACTTCTGCGTATGCCGTTCCATTCTTGGATCTCTTCAAGCACGCGGATGCATTCGATTTTCTTCTCATCGCCGCAGGCAGCCTGGGAGCCATTGCCAATGGACTCGCCATCCCTGCAATGATTCTCACACGGGGTCATATCATCGACAGCTTTGGAAGGCCACAGCTGCAAGCTTCGCAAATCAAAGACCAGATATTTGCGGTACCTTTTACTGTTCTTGCTCTGTCTTTTGACGATGTTCTTCTTGCTCTTGCTTTGTCTCTTTTGCTGATGTTGTTCTTGCTCCAGAACGCTCAAGTCTTCGTGTATATCGCACTGGGGGCATGGATCGCGTCGTACCTAGGTAAAAAACGTTCTTATGTAGCTGATATTGAATCACGGGTGCGCTGGTTTCAGAGTTGAGTTGCTGGATGAGAGCTGGAGAGCGCCAAGCCAAAAGGATCCGGACGGCTTACCTCAGATCCGTCCTACGGCAGAATGTAGCTTATTTTGACACGAATGTCACCACCGGTGACGTCGTCAACAGCATCTCCACTGACGCCTTTCTCGTCCAGGAAGCGATTAGTGAGAAGGTGCTGATGAACACAAAAGCGAAAGCAAAACTAACCTCTTCGGCTTGTCTCTGCAGACGGGGAGCTTTATCCGAAATGCGACTCAGTTCCTCGGCTGCTACTTAGTCGGCTTCACCCAGGCGTGGAGGCTCTCACTCGTAGTGCTGCCTTTTACTCCGTTGCTTATCATGCCTGGGATGCTCTACGGGAAAGCGGTAACACGATTTGAAGTGCGAAAGAAATCCGCTTACAGCAAAGCAGGCAGCTTGGTGGAGCAAACAGTAGCTTCGATTCGAACAGTGTTCTCCTTCGTTGCAGAAGACAAGATTCTCAAAAGTTACTCTCAATTGCTGGAAGCGACAGTTCACCTGGGAGTGAAGCAGGGATATGCGAAAGGCTTGGCACTGGGATCCGGAGGAATAGCATTCGCAATATGGTCCTTTATGACATGGTATGGAAGTGTTCTCGTCATGCGCCGGCAGGCTAACGGTGCTGAGATTATTACAACCGGCCTTGCTCTGCTCAACGGTGCAAGGTAAACATTAGAAAGAGAAAAAGTAATTTAAACTTGTACTCACTTCACTTGAGAGAATGGTCAGGTCGTTGGGATTTGCTGCTGCGAACATAAGAACATTCTCGGAAGGGCGGGTCGCAGCTCACAAAATATATGAAACAATTGCACGAGTCCCACCAATTGACGTTGACGATGAAAATGGCGAACAGCTCACAAACGTTGCCGGGAAACTGGACTTCAGAAATGTTCTGCACAGCTATCCAGCCAGGCCTGGGGTGCAAGTCCTACAAGAATTGAACTTAAGCATACCACCAGGTGAGAAAATCTTCGCTTACTTGTTATGACTCCCCTTGCAGGAAAAACGATTGCACTGGTTGGTGGCAGTGGATCCGGTAAGTCGACGGTAATAGCACTGTTGGAGCGCTTCTACGATCCTCTGCAAGGACAAGTTCTTTTAGACGGGTACGACATCAGGTCCTTGCAGTTGAAATGGTATCGTAAGCAAATTGGACTTGTGAGCCAAGAGCCTGCTTTGTTTGCTACTTCCATCAAGGAAAATATCTTATACGGAAAGGAAGATGCTGATTTCGACGAAATCCTTGAGGCATCTAATGCAGCCAACGCACACAGTTTTATAATGCAATTTCCAAATGCTTACGACACACAGGTACATTGGTACAAATCAAAGGACTTCCTTGGCTAACATTCGGCTTTAAAAAATATGCAAGGTCGGTGAGCGTGGAGCAAAGCTCTCTGGAGGACAGAAGCAAAGAATTGCTATTGCGAGAGCACTAGTAAAAAACCCACCTATATTACTCCTAGATGAAGCAACAAGTGCATTGGATACGGAATCAGAAGCAACAGTTCAAGCAGCACTGGACAAAGCAAGCCTGGGACGTACCACAGTGATTGTCGCTCACAGGTTGTCTACGATTCAGACTGCCGATTTGATTGCTGTCCTGCATTCCGGAAAAGTCATCGAGTTAGGAACACACGACGAACTGGTCTCGAAAGGCAAAGAGGGAGCCTACTCAGCACTCCTTTACTTACAAGGCAAACCTGGAATTGATACCACGACACCAGAGTCACCTCCAAGTCCCAAAGTATCTAGCCAACAAGCCATTCCAGAGCAGCTGAAACAAAATGACGGAGGATCAGATAACTCACCAAAATCAACTTTGTGGGATCTATTGATATCTCTTACCCGAGGCAAGCGGACAGACGGAGCACTGGGGTTGGTTGGAGGAGTGGGTTTCGGATTCGTCCAGCCTTCTTATTCACTCCTTATCGGCTCCATGTTGACAGTCTACTACACGAAAAACCGAGAGGAACTGAAGGAGGCAGTATCTTTGTGCAGCATGCTGTTTGCGGCTATCGCAGCAGCGGCCTTCACCGTTAATCTCCTGCAACATTACTGTCTTGCAGTAGTGGGTGAACATCTTACAAAGCAAGTGAGGGTCAAAATGCTTACGTCGATATTAAGTTTCGAAGTTGGATGGTTTGATAAGGACGAGAACAGCAGCGGCATGATCTGCTCCCGCCTGGCAACAGATGCAAACATGGTTGGTTTTTGTCATTTCAGATGTTTTTTTCTGATTGGTTTACTTACAGATTCGGAGTCTCGTCACTGATCGAGTGTCGTTGCTTGTTCAAACGGCCAGTGCAGTGGCGGTGAGCTTTATCATAGTACTTTTTGTCAACTGGAGAATGGGCCTGCTTGTCATCGGTATACAGCCCCTCCTTGTCTTCTGCTACTACGTAAAACTGGTGTTCTTGAAAGGCTTTGCCAAGAAAGCTGCCAAAGCACAAAATGAGGCTACTCAGATTGCAACAGAGGCGGTGTCTCAACACAGAACTGTGGCAGCTCTATCTGCACAAGACAAAGTCGTGAGCTCTATGAAGACGATGCTTGATGCAACAACAAAAGACGCAAAGAAACAGTCCCACATTGCTGGCTTTGGCCTTGGAGTCGCAAACTTCGTCCTCTATGCGTCTTGGGCCCTTCAGTTCTGGTATGGAGGGGTGCTACTGACCCAGGGAAAGGCAACCTTGCAGGACGTTTTCAAGGTGTTCTTCGTGTTCTTGAGCACTGGCCGGGTCTTGGCCGAGGCTCTCAGCTTAGCACCGGACTTGGCCAAAGGATCTGCAGTCATCGAGTCAGTGCTTAGCATTCTAAACAGGAAGACAGAGATCAACGCGGACGACACGAATTCTGCCAAAGTTGGCAGAATCGAAGGAGAGGTGGAACTTTGCAATGTGGACTTTGCATACCCATCGAGACCGGAGATGATGGTTTTCAAGAGCTTCAACTTGCGAGTAGAGGCGGGGAAATCTGTGGCGCTAGTCGGCCAAAGCGGATCCGGAAAATCGACAATCATAGGACTCATACAGCGATTCTACGATCCCTTGCAAGGCATGGTGATGATCGATGGAAGGGATATAAGAACACTTCACCTGAGATCACTGAGAAGGCAGCTTGCACTCGTCGGCCAGGAGCCCGTCCTCTTGGCGGCCAGCATCCGCGACAACATCGCCTTTGGCCAGGAATCCTGCAGCGAGCAAGAGATTATCCACGCATCAAGCATCGCCAATGCCCACACATTCATAAGGTGAGAAGAGCGAGAGCGAGAGAGAAGAGCGATCGATCGAAATATGTGACTTACATTGGGATCTTTCCAGCTCCTTGCCCGATGCCTACAACACGGCCGTTGGAGAGCGAGGTGCGCAGCTCTCGGGAGGGCAGCGGCAGCGAATCGCCATAGCCAGGGCGATCCTCCGGAACCCCGCAATATTGCTCCTGGACGAGGCCACCAGCGCCCTAGACGCGGAATCCGAGCGCCTCGTCCAGGATGCGCTGAGCAAAACGATCATCGGCCGGACGACAGTGACGATCGCGCACAGACTCTCCACGATCAAGAGCTGTGACAGCATCGCGGTGATCCAATCAGGGCGCGTTGTAGAGATCGGATCTCACGAGGAGCTTCTCGGCAGAGGAGAAGAGGGCGCCTACTCGTCCCTCCTTAGGATGCAGACCTAAAATTCATATCATTTTTATAATTTCTTAAACCTTCGTTTATGTTTAGTACGAGTCCAGCAAGTGCTAAGTGGTTTACAAAGAAGTTCAATATAAAACCTCTTTATAGACAGTGTTAATTGTAAAAATAGAAGGATCTTGTGGAAAGAGGTGACCCTGGCATGTGGTGTTTTGAACTTTAATTTCAAATCCATGTCAAGATGTGCATTTTGATAAAGCCACATAAAGTTGCCCATGAGTGAAAACTGGGTGGGGCAAATAAACTCGAACTCAGTTAAACATCTATCCTTGGCATTTGGAGATTGTTAAGTAGTAACCCAAATGAATTGGAAATTGTCATTTGGACATTTTGAATGAAATTTTTGTATTTGATGGTATTAGTGTGATACGTGGGATAAAAACTCTTGTCTCTTTAAATTGCCTGTGTGAGGGCCAAGTGTACGGCTACGATGCCGTATACTAATGTGAGGGCCAAGTGTACAGCTACGATGCCATATACTAATATTAGCGTAGTGGGATTTTGGTAGCCGTCGGATTGGTTTCAATCCGGACCACTCGCTCCTGTATATAAGCTAGGGTTTTTGGGCTAATTGATATGCACATTTCTATATTCCCTTTCCATATTCCATGCACTCACATTGGTGGAGTTGAGGGGCACCTTTGATTATCCCTGGGGAGTGTTTGGATTTGGGATTTTGGTTTAGATCTAGCTTTTGCATCGTTTAGATCTAGCTTTTTCCATTTCCTTTCTTTTGTTCTTTCCTTTCAGGATTTTGGTTTTGATCTAACTTTTTGCATTGTCTAGATCTACCATTTCTTTCCAGCTTTTTTGTCATTTCTCTTCTTTTGCTCTTTCTTTTTCGTTCATCTTCATGGCCGATCCGCAATCTCCTCCTTTGACTCTAGAGCAGCAGTTGGTTCAATTGCTTGATGCTATGCGCTTGCAATTGAACAACCAAACTCAGTTGATGGCGGCGTTCATGGCACGTGGTATAACTCCTCCTGCTCTTGATGCCAATCCTCGCGTTCGACTGGAGTTCTTTCGCGGGAATCCTGGGGATGATGTGTACCATTGGTTCGATCACTTTACGGTGATTGCCACATATCATTCTTGGGATGATGCTCGACGGTTGCGTGAGTTTCCCACGTGTCTCCAAGGGACAGCGTTGCAGTGGTACAATGGTTTGAGTGCAGCTACTCGTGGGGATTGGAGTGTTCTCCCGGACGTCTTCAAACGCGCCTTCGGACATGCCGATGATTGTGATGATGCTTTCCAACAATTGCATCGTCTTCGCCAAGGGCCATCGGAGTCGGTGATGCAATTTGGCGTTCGTTTCCGAAGTCTTTTGCTTCGTGCGGAGCCAAATATGTCGGAGCGGATCAAGCTAGGAATGTTGTGGCCAGCACTTCGTCAAGATCTTGTCGGACTTGTGCATGCACTTGCTCCTGCCACCCTTGACGATGCTCTTCGCTTGGCACAACGTTATGAGACGTCGCCTCTTCCACTTCTCGCTGCACGTCCTTCCACTCCACTTCCTATGGGTGATGGTCCTGTTCCAATGGAGGTTGATGCTGCTGCTGCTCGAGTCCAAGGACAAGCGCAAGGACGTGGTCGTGGCCGTGATGTTCGCTGCTGGGCGTGTGATGAAGTTGGTCATACTTATCAGCGTTGCCGTCGTTTTCCGGATTGGCGACCTCCATTTCCTGGGTGGAGACCTTGGCGTCAGCAACGTCCCCTGGGTGCTGCTACAGTGGAAGGTCTGGACACCGAGATGCATCCGGGAAACGAGGAGTCGCGCGAGTAACGGAGGGACCTTGCGCGAATAAATCAGTGACCCCTCCATCTTTCTTTCGGGAGTATCATCAAGGGGTTCACTCGGCACCAGTTCATCCAGTGTTTACTTTCCAAGCTCGTTTTTATAACAAGAAGTCTCCTATTATTCTCTCCGTGTTGGTTGATACAGGTTCGAGTTTATCTTCTATTGCTCGACCTGTTGCCACACGTTGTCGTCTACACTTGCGTCGTGCGGCAGAACCAGTTTTCATTCTTTATGGCAACGGCCGTACACATGCATGTGCACAGGATGAGGTAGACCTGGTTGTGCGTGTAGGCGATCTCAAGCTTGAGTTGCAGTCGTTGCGGGTGGTGCCGAGTCAAGCTTTTGACCTCATTCTTGGTATGGATTGGTTGCAGCGCAATCATGCCAAGTGTGACTTTGAGGCTTCTCCCCCTTGTCTCATACTTCCTTATGTTTCATCCATTCCTCTCACTTCCATACCTCTTCGTCCCTCTACTTCTACCTCTGCTTCCATTACTTTTGTTTCCCCACTCCTTCCTTCTGTGTTTCCATCTTGTTCTGCTTTTCCCTTTTCCGATCCCTCCGACGATCTTTGTGTTGTAGCAGTTGACCGGCTCATGAAGGAGTATTCTGATCTCTTTGAATTTGACCTATCGTCTGGGGCCAAGATTGCCATACGTCATCCAATTCCAACCGGGGATGCTCGTCCAATCAAGGTTCCTGTTCATCGTTGGTCACCTAAGGAGATCAAAATTTTACGAGCAAACGTCAAGGAAATGCTGGAAAAGGGTGTTATTCAGAAGTCGTGGAGTCCTTGGGCATGTGAACCTCATCTTGTGACCAAGCCTGATGGGAGTATTTGTTTCTGCATCGACTATCATCCGTTAAACAAAGTGACGATTCCAGATGTGTATCCTCTTCCTCACACTGCTGATCTCTTGGATCGTCTGGGGCGAAGTCGTTGGTTCACCAAGCTAGATCTTGCTTCTGGGTATTGGCAAGTACCGATGGCCGAAGAAGATATTCCTAAGACTGCTTTTCGTACACCATTTGGTTTGTACGAGTTCTTGGTGATGCCGTTTGGTTTAAACAATGCTCCAGCAACTTTCCAGCGGATGATGGACGAGGTTCTTTGCGATATGCCGGAAGTGACTGCTGACTTCATTGATGATGTCTTGATCCACTCGGAGGGGACGTGGGAGGAGCACGTTTGTGATGTTTGTAAAGTGTTGGATCGGCTACGCGACGTTGGTTTAAAGCTGAAGCGGTCGAAGTGCGTGTTTGGGTCCAAGGACACAACTTATCTTGGGTACCGTATTTCTCGTGAGGGTTTGCAAGTTGATCCTGACAAACTTGTGGCTGTTCTAAAGTTCCCTACTCCGAAGTGTGTGAATGACGTGCAGCGTTTTTTGGGTAAGGTGCAGTATCTTGGTCGTTTTGTGGATCATCTTTCCGATCGCACTACACCATTGCGAGCGTTGCTGAAGTCATCAACGTCATCTTTCATTTGGTCTCTAGATTGTGAGCGGGCGTTCGTGGATCTCAAGGAGCTATTGACAACTCCTCCGGTTTTGGCATATCCTGACTACACTCGACCTTTTATTTTGCGCGTGGATGCTTCTGACATTGGTCTTGGAGATGTGTTGATGCAAGAGAGCTCGAATGTGCCTGGTCAGTGCCATCCCATTGCATACATAAGCCGTACATTACAACCAGCGGAGATGAACTACTCCACGACGGAGAAGGAGTGTTTAGCAGCAGTCTGGGGTTTCGAGAAACTTCATGCATATCTACATGGTTCTCGAACGTTACTTGAAGGTGACCATGATGCTGTTACTTCATTATTGAAGCGGAAGAACCTGGTTGGTCGTACGGCTCGATGGGCTTTGAAGTTTCAGATATATGATTTCGATGTTGTTCATCGCCCAGGGAGTTCTATGGCTGATGCTGATGCCCTTTCTCGAGCTCCTCTTCCTTCTCCACTCACTTCTCATCATTCTGACGAACCTATTGTTCCAGCATCTGTGGATTTTCTAGATGAGGATTCTGTGCCGTCGGCGGTTGCTGTCCTTGACGTTCAGTGTCCACAGGGTGCAGAGCAAGATTTGCCTTCTCTTGAGGAGGTTCGCGAGGCTCAAAAGATTGAGCCGTGGATTCGAAGGCTTCGAGATGGGTTTGAGAATCCTACATCACTTGCTGATGACTTGCCTTTCCGGCATTTACATTCTCAATATCGCCTTGAAGATGGCCTTCTTTATTTTGTGGGGACGGATCCTGATGATCATTTACGACTGGTGGTACCTTCGGTGTTTATTCCGCGGTTTCTCCATGCCTACCATGATTCTCCTGTTCTAGGTGGGCATATGGGACACCGTCGTGTCACCGAGAAGCTGCGCAGGTCTTTCTATTGGCCGGAGATGCGACGTGATATTATCCGGTATGTGCGTAGCTGCGTTTGGTGCCAAGCTCGTAATACTCCCCCTTGTGCTGCGGAAGGACGGTTGGAGTCAATTGCAGTTTCCCGTCCATTTGAGTTGGTGGCGTTTGATCTTATGGGACCTTTTCCACGATCGACTGCTGGCAATGAGTATGTTATTATTGCTTCTGACTACTTGACTCGTTGGGTGGAAGTTGGTGCTCTTGCTAGCGCCTCTGCAACTGCTGTTGGATACTTCCTCCTCAATCGAGTGGTGTTCTAGCATTCTTGTCCAGAGCGGATTCTTTCGGATAATGGTCCTGCATTTATGGCTGAGGTATTTCATGTTTTGATATCTCGGTTGGGGATACGCCACACTTTTACGAGTGCTTATCATCCACAATCAGACGGTCTGGTGGAACGGCTCGTTCGGACATTCAAAGGGATGATTTCGAAGTATGTGAACTTTCAGCATTCGGATTGGGATGGTCATTTACCGTCTCTTCGGTATGCCTATGTCACAGGGGTGCAGAGTTCTGTTGGTGCTTCACCATATAAACTTCTATATGGTCATGATCCAATATTACCAACAGAGTTGGGTTTACCTTCGAGATTGCCACGAGCTCCTGATGCTAGGTCATGGGATCAGTATTTGACAAGCATTCTTCCACTTGTCTGAGCAGAGTCTGCCGAACACTTAGGCCGCGTACAAGTGGGACAACAACGGCGCTACAACTCCCATCATCGTCCACCTGCGGAGTACAAAGTGAATGATTTGGTGTTAGTTCGTTTTCCCCATCTTACGGTACGTGGTTTATCTAAGGGGCTCCTTGCGCAGTGGAAAGGACCGTATCGGGTGTTGCGGCAAGTTGGACCGCAAGTTTATGAGGTTCGGCA